CTCCCTGGTGGCGCAGTGGTTAAGAATCTGCCTGGCACAGCTTCCCTGGTGGCTCAGTGGTTGGGAGTACGCCTGCCAACGCGGGGGACGCGGGTTCGAGCCCTGGTCCTGGGGGATCCCACATGCTGCAGGGCAGCTGGGCCAGTGCGCCACAGCTGCTGAGCCTGCACTCTGGAGCCCGCGAGCCACAACTGCTGAGCCTGCGTGCCACGGCTGCTGAGGCCAGCACGCCTGGAGCCGGTGCTCCACAAGGTGAGAGGCCGCCACAATGAGAGGCCTTTGCACCGCGGCGAGGAGCGGCCCCCGGCTCGCCGCAGCTAGGGAGGGCCCACGCGCAGCAACGAAGACCCAAAGCAGCCAAAAATAATAAGTAAATAAAATAAATTTAAGAAAAAGGAATCCGCCTGCCAATGCAGAGGACACGGGTTCGTGCTCTGGTCCGGGAGGATCCCACATGCCGCGGATCAACTAAGCCTGTGCACTGCAACTACTGAGCCTGAGCCCTAGAGCCCGCGAGCCACAACTACTGAAGTCCGCGCGCCTAAAGCCCGTGCTCCGCAAGAAGAGAAGCCACCGCAATGAGAAGCCCACACGCCACAACGAAGAGCAGCCCCCAGCTCGCCACAACTAGAGAAAGCCCACGCGCAGCAACAAAGACCCAACACAGCCAAAAATAAATAAAATTTTTTAAAAAAAGAATAAAGAGTTACCCTCACTAATACAAAGAAAGCAACGTGCATAGGTCTGAAAAGAAGTGCCCATGGTGTAATAGAAAGAACACAGGGCTTAAATACAAAAAAAAAAAAAAAAAAAAACCTTAAATACAAATAGCAACTCTCACAACCCACCTACATGACATTAAAAGAGTAATTTGAATTCTCTGATCCTATTTTCTCACTTGTAATATGAGGTAAAAATAGCTGTCACAAGATTAAATAAGTTAAATAAAAAGCCTGACCAGCAGGTCCTCCTCTAGTGGATCTTTCCCTTCTGTGCTTAAAAGTAAAATTTCTGAACTTTTTTACAATAAGGCTGAAAAGTTCATTAGATTCAATATACACCCAATCCAAAGTCAATATTCCAACACAAAATTGGCAGGCAGGAAGAGATTGGCAGGAAAGGAAAGGAGAAAGATATTTTAGGCAAGACTAAGAAGCTAACTTCTCAACAGGAGCAAGTGTGCTATACTTACTGCAAACAGCATGCAAAAAAAAACAAGACCCATGACGGAATAAGAGTTTTAATGAATGTTTTTTGGTAACAAATAGATACTGTGAATGTTTCTGCCCTTGCAGACAACTGGAGAAATAGTATTTTACATATTATGTACAAAATTCACGTAAGAAACATGAACTTCCCACTTATATTTTCTCCCAGCCACTCAGCTCTTCCCCACTGCTCTCAAACAAGATCATCCTACCTGTACTAACAGCTAGAATGTGACGACAGGATGAATAATATAAGCTCCTCATCTGCTGACTCCAACAAAATATTTATCCTTACATTTTAAGATTGCTAAGAAGTTTAACTCAGAGAAATTCCTTAACTCATTCTAGATCTGAACATATCCAAGAGCTCTACAATAAGCCTATAATAACTCTGCTATTATAATCAATGAAAATAATTTACCAGTACAGTATTTATTAGAGAAAAAAAGAGGAAAGACGTAAAAGGGAAGAGAAATTTCACAATGCAAAGCTTTGTAAACATGCTACAACATAATAAAGTAAATAAGGAGTTCCTTTATATGGCTTGAATGTTGAAGAATTCTGAGGGAAAAGAGGCAAAAGATAATTTAGGATAATATTAACTTTACAAGTATTACAACGTTTCAAAAACTGCTTTAAAAAAAAATTTTCCTCACCACTGGTAGCCCGTTTGAGTCTGTACCTTAGTTCTTAAGCAACCAGCTCTATCAATAAGAATCTCTGTCCCAAAATTTTATTCTACATTACTATTCCAATACAGATCACCCACCAAAAAAGTATGTAGACATGTTATCAATATGAAAGAAGTATTTTTTTCTAAATTCTTTTCAAAGGAGTTCTCTCTTTTATGATCTGGGCCGGTGATCCTTTATCTTACGTTGAAATAAAAGACTTTTGCTGGAGGAGCTCTAATTTTAAATTTAGGGATTAAGCTTCATGTATCGAAACTCTTACAGCTTTTCTCACCTAAGACCACCAAATTTCATAGATGGCCACTTTTTCCAGTCACCGTTTGCCTAACTTAGATTATGAAATGGAACGACCAACTTGATTCCAGTTATAATTTTTCACTTATATTAAGTGGCTAACTGTGATTGATGAATGCATTCTCTAAAGCACAAAGGAACACACAAATTGTAGGTGCACAATTTGCATCTCGGATCGTACAGTATTCTGGAACATGAAACTCTCTATTAAGGCCTTATTTAGAGATGCTTATCACAGGCCCAATTTCAATGAGCTATCCTTTAAGTGCTGATAAAGTTGAAGGTGTAACTTTCCAGGATTGCATAATGGGCAACAGGAAAGACCAAAATGCCTTCTGAAAACCAAAATAAACGGATCTCTAAAGGTGGAATTTCAGAGACTGACAGACGGTAAAAGGAAGTGAGAAGTATCCTAATCAGTTCCATTTAAATCATGAGTGTCCAGCTAACAACCTCTGCCGGTGAGATAAAACTAATGTAATAATGTAAGAGTAACCGCTATATTAAAACAAAAATATCCTAAGCATAGACTGAACCCCTGTCCCCCACACCTCCTGCTCACTCAGTCTGTGTTTTAAATTCAAGGCTGCCCTATCAGAAAGAGGTCACTTAAGGATAGTTAACCTCAATGAAATACCCAGCACACTAATTCAAAAATAACCAAAACTACTGCCAAAGGGAAAAAATAAAGTGAGAAGGAGTTAACACCCTACTTAAGATGTTACCATGTTCTTTATTAGGGCAACAATTATCTACACTAGTTTTACTGACAAGGCAATGATTACTAAAGCATAGAATATTAATTATGTAGCAATATTTTTCACTTTAACAAAACATACTTGAAAATCTTTGTTAGTCAGGCTGCCAAATCTAATTTTAAAACTCACCCTACACATAAAACTACTCACCAGCTGGACTAAGAAGGGAGGGGGAAAAAAAAATACTGGTTCAGGGAAATGAAATTGGATTAAGAAAAAAAAACTTTAATTAGCTGTCCATCAAAAAACTACATGGAAGTTTCAAGGCTAAACGAGGCTCGTGTTTCCTATATTACTATTATATTAACATATTAATCGGTTGTTTCCCTATGCACGGCTGGGATTTTGGAAACTGCCACACTTGCATAAAGGTATGAGCATGAAGATTACAGAGAAATGTTAACAGAGAGCAAATAGCGAGGAACAGACCATCCTTTAAGTAACAATAGTTTGCTGAATAGTAAAAACGGGGGGAAAAGGCTGGCAGTCCACTTCTCACAACAACCCCCCAAACAAAAAATGTGGAGTATTTGGGAAATGAGAGAAGTAATAATATATCAGCAAGGTATACACACGGACAAAAGAAAACACTTCCGATACTGCAACGTAAAGCAGTCACTCTACATTAAAATACTGGCAGTATTTTCTACGTAAGTATAAAATGTGCTGCAACTCTCTAAAATTTCTATTAACACAAAAGGAACGACCACTTTCACGCCATCCTGTATTTGAGTAAACTACACTACAGATCTATGATAAACAGCTCCTTGCAAAGCAAGCACATCCCTTGACAACTCTATCACCTTCCTCGCGCCTTAAGATACCGTCACAGAATGAACGTATACAACTTAAATTAAGCCTCCTGGGTGCTTCCCTTCCTCCCTCTCCGTGGAACACAAATACATTTTTTTAGGTTCCCATAAACTGACACCCAGCACCAGTAACTCAGCCTATGTGAAAACTGTCTAATTTTGAAAATTCTAATAAGATGTGTTCAGGTTGGAAACGAAAAACTACCTTATAAGGGTATAAAAGACTGAAAGCAGGAAGCGGCTTTGACAAAACTAAGGAAGTTGCAGCGCGCTTGCTCACTGGGGGACTTTTTCGAGGCAAGAGAAGTAACACATGACATCTTTCTCTCAAATTAAACTGTGACTTGGTTGACCGGTAAGAACGTCGTGGGAGATGGGAAAGATCGGGGGTCGAAAAGCAAGAGGAGGCGGGTGGTCAAATGAAAGCCCCGCTCTAGGTTCCCATTTTCCGAGTCCGACTCTTCCCTTTCCCCACCCACACCCCGGGCAGAGTGTTGTCACAGCAATCTTGCAAAACCTACCAGGAGCGCTTCTCTTTCCTCGCTCCTCTGCCAGGCCAGTCCCCGCGCTCGATGCCCCGCGGTGCCCAAACCCACGGGCAGGAGGCGGCACGCGGGGACAGGAGGGCTGGGCGCGCCGGGCTCCGCGACCGCCCCAACGCGACCGCGGGCCCCGGGAAGGCAACCATCCCCGCAGCTCCGCGGGAGGCGCTGCCCACCGCGGTGGGGGAAGGGCTGGGAGGGGTCGGGCGGAGGAGGCCGCTCCCCGGGGGCTTCTCGGCCCCTCGCACCCGCCCGGCTCCCAGAGGGTGAAGCGCGAGGGACGAGGGAGGCCGTAGCTCCGGGCCCCACCCCTCGCCAGCCGGCGGAGCCGGGGTGGACACAGCCGGCAGCGGCAACTCGCGGCACCGTTCATCTCCCGGCCTCCTGCCGGCCCCGCCATTTTCCTCCCTCCGCCTCAGTTTCCCCACCCCCGCCCATCAGCCCCCTTACCCCGTGCCACAGTCCACCACACAGGCCGGCAGCCGTCCCGCCATCTTCCTCCTCGCCTGCTGCTGCCGCTGCCGCCGTCTGCTCCGTGCCGGTTGGGGCCAGGGATGGGCGGCGAGAGGTAGAGGCTATCTGACCATCCACGGCCAGGCCGCCCTCTCCGTCCGCGGGGTAGCCGGGAAGCCAAAGCAGTAGCGAGAGAGCAGCAGGTTCGGTCAGCGGCTACCACTTCCGCAACCCGGGCGGGCAGGCAGTCCCCGCCCTGCCCCGCCGCGGCCTCCTCCCCCTCTCTCTCCCCTCCTTCTCGCTCCTGCCCCCACCGTACAACTTCTTCCCCTCGCGCCGCCTTTCCCCGGGAAGCCAAGATGGCTGCCGGTGCCGACGCCCCGGCCAGGCCAGGCCCAGGCCGCGAGCGCTCCCCGTTCTGGCTCCGGGCGGGCGGGGCGAGAGAGCATGCGCAGTGAGGTGCGCCTCCGGCTGCCGCTCCGGTCCCGACGGTGAGGAAGTCCACTTCGGGTGTTCGTCCAGGTAGGGGCGGGGAAGTCGGCCCGAGCCTCCAAGTCTCCTTCTGAAGCTGGAAGTGGCTGATAGTTACAGTTACTTCTGTGCTTGGTTGAGGGAGGGATGGGACCGCCTATCGCAGCCGCGAATATCTTTTCCGGCGCCCCGGGGAAAACGGCCTAATGGAAAACGTTGTCAGCGGCACACATTCTTTTTTTCTAACTTGAGAGCCTGCTTTTCCGCGTGGAAAAGAGCGATATCAGACCGAGGGTGAGCAGTCGGTGGAGGGTTGAACAAAGGCTTGCACCGTGGCTCCTCTGCCTTTGTGCGTCCTTTTTTTTTTTCAGTTACACTTGTGCGTTGTTACAGCCTCGCGTGTTGCAAGCGTTACAACACGGTTTAGATTGCAGGCCCTCCGGAGGGCAGGCCTGTGCCCACGAGGAAGGCACACCTCCCGAGAATATGGTCTACGTAACATACTCTAGACAAATACACCTTTTTGTTTGTTTGTTTTGCGGTACGCGGGCCTCTCACTGTTGTGGCCTCTCCCGCTGTGGAGCACAGGCTCCGGACGCGCAGGCTCAGCGACCATGGCTCACGGGCCTAGCCGCTCCGCGGTATGTGGGATCCTCCCGGACCGGGGCACGAACCCATGTCCCCTGCATCGGCAGGCGGACTCTCAACCACTGCGCCACCAGGGAAGCCCCACAAATACACCTTTGACGGCTTTGGACGATGACAAAGATTTCCCTCTGGAGTAGTTTAAGATTCTACTGTTCTACTTTTGCAGGATGAAACCAAAGATTAAGGACCAAAAATTTTAATTAAAAAAAAAAAAAAGCTAAAAACTGGAAAGCCTGGAACAGTGGTTTTCAGACTTTTCAAAGTGTGCATGAGAATTACGTGGAAGGCTTGTTAAAGCACAGAATGCTGGGTCATGAATTGTCTTGATGATTTGGTGTGGAGGGGACCCTGGTAATGTGCATTTCTACCGAGTTCCCAGGTGATGGTATGGAACCCGCCCGCCCCCCCAACCTGGGAAAACTGTAAAGTGAATAGATTTTTTCTCCACCAGGCTTACCTTCTGATAAACCATGTGGATGTGCTTATATGTGACTGAAATAGAAATATTTTTCCTCAGAAAGGATGTCTAATTACTCCAGAAGATTTAGACCAGCCTGGGGGATGGGGTATAGGTTTTTCATTTATTTGGCAGATGAGGATTGCTCACCCACTCGATTATGACAGGGACTCTGCTGACCCTAAATGTTCCATAGGCATAAAATAGATAAGGTCTCTGTGCTGTAGAGTTTACGGTTTAGTGGGGAAACATACAAATTGTGTTAAGAGCAATAGAAGTCAGAAAGCAGGGGGCTCTGAGAAATGGGGGGGAGTGGGAGAATGGGAGGGAGGTAGCAGGTAGGGGAGGCTTCTCTGACAAAGTGGCATTTAAAAGCTGAGGGCTGGAGGATAGTAGGAAATAGAGGAGAGGGTGAGGAAGAAGGGGAGCCCTCCAGGAAGTGGGAACAACAGGAGTCAAGGCCCTGAGGTGAGAAAGAGCTTGGCTTCTTCCACAAATTGAAAGAAGACGCAAGTGATCAAAGTGAAGTGAGCCAGGGAAGACAGAATGGGAGATGAAACCTGAGAGAGAAGGAAGAATCAAATGATGCAAGGATTTGCATCCTTAAGTGTCTTAAAATTTAGCCTGAAAGCTATTTGGAAGCCATCAAAGAGACTTAAGCAAGGAAATGTTCTGGCTGCTTTGCAGGGAATAGATCCCACAGAGTAAAGAGTGAAGTGAATGGTCATATATCATACATGATGCTGGCATTCAGGGATCGAAACGTGTGAGGAGTAGCATCCAGATGGGATTGGATACGTGCAAAGGAGAATTACTAAGGGGCATCATCATCATTACCATCAACTGGTGCTCAGCACATCCCCAGCTACTCACAGAAAATAAATAATCCTCAGGGGAGGCTTTCCTCAGAGATTGTCTTACAAGAAGGCAGACAGAAGTGATTCTTCGTTCAGATGCGTTGTTTTGTTTTTCCCTACATGTAGAAGATGCTATATGGGGATTCATTGCTGCCTTTTCCACCATCAGGTATTTAAGGTCATTTGGGAGACCAGATGCCTAAAGATTGGCTCTGACAGAGGAGGGAGATGTGGCTTGGTTGCAGTAGAGCAAATGGTTGTTTCCAGCATCACAGATGGTCAGTCAGGACTAAAGGGATCTTACCTAAGGGGTCCCGAGGACAGAGGTTAGGAACTTGAACTCAGGGAAGTTCTCACGCCCAGGGAAACCCATAGTGGTAGATCCTCACAATGGCTGTCCAAATGCTGGCCTTGGGTGGGTTGCCATGGAAGTAGTTACATCAGTGTTCAGAGACTAGAACATTATAAGTGAAGAGGGCTATGAGGAGGGTATGGCAACGCGGAGAGCCCGCAGAAGACAGTAGAAAACTGTGGCTATGCGGGAATGTAGGCCTGGTGTTGCCAAAGCCTCCCTTTATTCAAGAAGAGTCAGAAATCTGTATTTGTATCTGTTGGTAACTAATTCTTTGAAGGCTGTATCTGACCTGTAGTCTGTCAGTTTTCAACGTTTGATTTGAGAGGCTGTTTAATGTTTACTTGTGTATTACATTCAAATATGAAGTTCATGTCAGTGCTAGGTGCTGTATCTCATTTCACAGGCGTGAGGAACCCTGCCACAGTTTCTTTCACGTAGTCAGGACTGTCCTTCGTCTATAAGGCTGTGACTGTTAGAAGCGTTTGGAAGCTTGCAGCACTTATGAGAAGTGTCGTTTGTGGAGGTTCCTCATAACGTCTGCCCCAGCGCTTTGCTTGCTCAACACCCCTTCTACTTCCTGCTTCCTACGTGCCACGTTGTCAGTGTCTGTACTTTGGAGGCACATCTGGCCAAAGCATATCTGACCACCGTGTTTGCATATGCACCCCCTGCTTCCTGCCCATCCTTCTCCAAATACAGAGAAATAGAATATGTCTGAACTAGAAGCCCTCTTGGAGATGACCTTGTAAGATGTGGAAAGGAAAGCAGTAGTGGATGGGTGGGGTTTGTTTCACTGCCCTAAATCCATTACTCCCTGGTAGCACCCTAATTTCCCTTTTAGTTCAGGTCAACCAGGTGCTTTCTTCTTGTTAGTTTCCAAGCCCAGTTCCCAGCCTTTCAAGCATTTGTGTGTCTTACAGTATCCTTCCAATAAATCCCCTTCTGCCTAAGTTAGCAGCAATCAGTTCCTATTACCTGCATCAAATTTAAGAACCCTAAGAGATACAGAAGCCCAGAAAGTTTAAGTGATTTTCCCATTATCTTAGGCAAACTAGGGAATGGAGTCCAGACCAAAACCCAGTACTGACCCCTTTTCAGGGCCCTTTAGTTATAATGCCACAAGCATTGTTTAATTTTGACTGATACACTGGTTACCAGTTACCATGAGATTTCCTGGGTCATTTCTGTGTCTTAAGGCCAGTTTAGCACATGTCTCTGAATCTTAAAATGTCCAAGAAATTCACATGTCACTCAATCTCCATTATTTTAAAGTGGGAAACATTATTATTTTTTTAAACATTATTATGTTTTTAAACATTATTATCTCAGCTTAGGTACTTGCTGCACGGGTGACTATTTGCAAGTTGGCAGACCAGTCAAATCTACAGAGAGCATTGATTAAAGCAGATAGATAAATGGTCAAGATAGATAAATGGTCAAGATGTCCATGCAGCCTAGTGGTCGAGGGGATGATGGCTGTGAACTGTGGATTCTCCTTTCTCAAGTTGTGTAATCTTAGATAACTTCGTATGTTGAGAGAACACTGAACTTGGAATCAAGAAACTTGAGTTGAGTATGAGCTTTTTAAATTAATCTGTTTCTTCATCTATAAAAATGGCAGGAATACCTAACCCACAGGGTTGTTGTAAAGCTTAAATTTTTAAAAAAGCATATTACAAATTATAAAATGATTTTATGAACAGATCAAGAGGAATATGGTTAAATTATAAAGTAATGACTCTTTTACTTATTACTTACACAGACCTAAACATCCAAAAGTTGGTCCTCCTTTTCACAGAACTTCTCTTCGGGCCTGTGTGCTTACTCTTTTAACACTATCATCATACAAAATATTTTTGGAAGGTTTCCTTTGAACTTGCCTTCAGAGCCTGTTGCACATTCCTTTAAATATCTTCATTGGTAACAAATCTTGGCCCTTTGTGGGTAGGTTTTATTTTTAGAATTGGCTCAAAATTATTTTTTCAGAGCCAAGTCTAATGCATAAAATGGCCAGTCAACTAGGGCTATGGTGGGTTGCTTTTTAAATTAATTGATTTGTTTATTTGTTTTTATTTTTGGCTGCATTGGGTCTTCGTTGCTGCACACTGGCTTTCTCTAGTTGCGGCGAGCGAGGGCTACTCTTCGTTGCGGTGTGCGGGCTTCTTATTGCGGTGGCTTCTCTTGTTGTGGAGCACGGGCTCCAGGTCCATGGGCTTCAGTAGTTGTGGCTCGCAGGCTCTAGAGTGCAGGCTCAGTAGCTGTGGTGCACGGGCTCAGTTGCTCAGCGGCATGCGGGAACTTCCCAGACCAGGGACTGATCCCGTGTCCCCTGCATTGGCAGGTGGATTCTTTTTTTTTTCTTTTTTTTAACATCTTTGTTGGAGTATAATTGCTTTACAATGGTGTGTTAGTTTCTGCTTTATAACAAAGTGTATCAGTTATACATATACATATGTTCCCATATCTCTTCCCTCTTGCGTCTCCCTCCCTCCCACCCTCCCTATCCCAGCCATCCAGGTGATCACAAAACACCAAGCTGATCTCCCTGTGCTATACGGCTGCTTCCCACTAGCTATCTGTTTTACGTTTGGTAGTGTATATATGTCCATGCCGCTCTCTCACTTTGTCACAGCTTACCTTTCCCCTCCCCATATCCTCAAATCCATTCTCTAGTAGGTCTGTGTCTTTATTCCCATCTTACCCCTAGGTTCTTCATGACATTTTCTTTTCTTAT